GTACTGTTTCGAAGTCCTGGTATGTTTTTCTTTTGATAGTCAATGAAATACGCAAGGTCTGCTAGAGCTTGATCAACAGACAAGTATTTTAAACTGTCGGTCGTTAAGTCACTATTAAATAAATAATTAATTATAAGAGATTGGTGTACACAAGATCTTACCACAATTTAATAATACGTTGTAATTAAGAAAAAGTATAATGGAAAGTAAGCGAATTACGAATGTGAAAATGGAAAAGGCCTTTGTCTAATTTTAATCTGACTAGATACACATTACTTAAAAGGTAAATTAAAGAATGTAAATCATTTTTACCCTATTGGATAACTGTTACCATAAAATCTATGCTCTGTGTGGAATAAAATGGCATTGTGTAATCGGGCTATATCAACAAACAGTCCTGATGTAATCCATCCTGCTGTTATATTCCATTCGCCCCCTATAAACACGAACATGGGGCGCCCTTCTTCATAAAACTCGTTATTTTGTATATATCTCTAAACAAAGCTTTATATTAAAAAATTATAATAACTTCTAATAATTAATATGTCAGCTTCAACATTTGCTCAAAGTTTTGAGACAAAAAATTAATTCTTTTCATCGTTTTATCCGGCTAAGTAGAATTAGTTAAGAAATTCGATTTTGCTTTTGATATTTCATATGACAGTTAAAATGAACATCTTGTAGTTATTTTAAAATGTAAAATACCATTTGCCAAGTTCTGTTGTCTGCTGGATTGAAATGGTCAACTCTTTGAGTAAGTCTAAACCATTGGGGTGATGTTCTAATTTCAGGTTCCCTGGCCGGCGGTATTCCATGTCGGATATATAATATTTCGTTCTAAATATGAGATAGAAAACATATAATTTTGTTTCATTGGGATAGTGATTGGAGAAATCGATCCAGTGATCAATAAATCAGACTGTAAGATTGACGTCCATTATTATTATATATACACATTTATTTATCTTTCGTTAGAGATTAAAAAGTTTTTATAGGATTGGACGTGCTTGATTTTTTAACACTGTAAGTAAGGAGTTTTACTCAGTAATATCGTATGATAAAAAGATAAATTTTAGCTAGGGAGCCATCTAAAGAAGATTATCATAAATTTTTCAACGGTATCTATAATACTAGGGGTTTCTTGGATTATGTTAGCAAATCATCTTAGGATTAAATTTTCATTTTTTTGACTGCCAAATAGCCAAAAAAAACGCGAATTGTACGGGGTGCTAATTTGTTATTATGAAAAGTTTTTACTTACACTTCTCCAAAAAGATCAATACAAATTTGATAATACAGATCTATTGTAAACGTGTTCCCAAAAGCTTGTGTTTGATACCAACCATATTCAGTACATGTTTGATAAAGCCATTGACGTACTTAAATAAAACGAAAATAATAAGTAATAAGTAATAAGTGTCTATTTGTAGGAAAAGGAATAGTTTTATTTTTAATAGATATTCGCCCACTTTATTATCATCATCATCATCCTAGGGTCGTCAGTCCTAAGACTGTTTAGGCACGCATCTTCACTCTTTTCTATCCTCAGCTAATCTTTTCCTAAAACTAGAACATCCGTCCCCCAGCATTGCCAATTTTAACCAAAATCAATTTTGGGATCGTTGAATTTTGTAAAACACTAAAACTACTATTTTCGTTTCCCAAATTCTGAATAATGCTAATAAACAAAATTTCTACTAATACTTCTGTATGATGACTTTTGGTTCTCTTTTGGTTTCTTCCACAACACATTAAAATTTTCAGACATCATTTCAATCTTATTTAATTATTTATTATTTATACTGATAAAAGATGATTACGTACATCTGTTTGTTCCTATAATTTGTGTTCCAGAATAATAGTCTTTAAAAAAGTCATAAGTCCATATACATGATCCTTGTGGTACTATGTAGTTAGCCAGTTTTTCTACATCAGACCCTGTGTGATTCTCGAGGCGTTCACACACGGACACCAAATCGCCAGGTTGAGCAGTTTGAACTGCATTAGCAAATGGTGATGAAAGACTTGTAAGGAAATAAGACCTATCTGGTTCTACTGAACCATTTACAGGGTTACACGAACTACAAATGCAAGTTACAAAAAAGATTAACCAATTTCCTTTCTAATTCAAATATATGTATATAAAGGTACCTTTTTGTTTGAGAGTAGGTACCTATACATAAATAAAAGGAATATTTACCGAAATATTCGTGAAAAGTTGGCAGAACCCTCTGGAGTTTCTAGCATTTCCATTGCTTCGCTCATGGCTCTTCTGATTACTTCTGGACAAGTTGGGGAAGCAAGACGTAGAGTTTCTTCCACAACATCAAAATATTCTAACGAAAGTTGGCAATTGCTTGGTATTTTGTATATTACGTATTTTCAGAAATGTGATTTATTTGAAATACTTCTATTTATAATACACATATAATAGTTATGCGTTGTTGGTCTTTTTCTTTACCTGTGAAATCAGCTTTGGCGTGTAAAGGGCCACTCGAACAATAAGCAATGTCTACTATATGAGGATATTTTAATTTTGCCCATGTTGCTAAAGTTCCTGCGTATGATGAACCAGCAACTACCACCTAAACATTAATACGAAACTAATTTTCTTTTTGCATAATCTAAGTTTAATATATGCTAACACAGCTGAGAGAATTTAAAAAATGACGACGCCCTAAACTGTTTGTGATAAATTTTCAATAAAATAAATTAAATCAAAGACATGGATAGTTTCACAAATAAATATTACACTGGTACAGTATTTAGGTACTCTTGTTGATGCCCTAATAAGGAAAAATGGCGGAGAAGATACTACAACATTTAGGTAATTAGATACGTAGTTGCTCTTTACTTACTGTACTATTTTGAAGCCCCGGTGTATTTTGCTTTTGATACTCAATAAAATACGTAAGGTCTGCTAGAGCTTGATCAGCGGACAAGTATTTCAAACTGTCGGTCTCTAAATTGCTACGAAATAAACAATAAATGAAAAAGTATAAAAGATTTGCCTACACAAATCTCTGAGAAAGAATAATCCCAGCTAAACAATGTAGTTAGCGAATGTGAAAATGGAAAATTTTTTTTGTATAATTAGTGGTAGTACGAAAATTAACAGATGATGAGTATGAAAAATTTTGTTACTGAATTGAAATGAAAATTTGGAGTAGCAGAATTAAAGTATGAATGATTTCATGTTCTTACGAAAATGAGTTGAATGGATTAATAGTTTGTGTAAAGAAAATACTGATTGAATTTGAAAATGCAGTAGCATATTGGTCGAGTAACAATGTTGAGAACAAAAGAACTTCTTGATTAATATTCTATAGCATTGATTTTAAAATTGCAAAAAAAGATAAAAATTTTAATTTTTAATAGATATCTAAGTATCAACACTTATAAAATAAAGTCGTCATTGACACAATTTCCTAACGTCCCCACAAAATTTGCCCCCTTGTGGTAGAGATACCTTAAAGAATGTAAAGGTTACTAACTTTATTGGATAACTGCCTCCATAAAATCTGTGTTCCGTGTAGAATAAAGTGGCATTATGCATTTGGGCTATATCAAAAAATAGTCCTGACGTAATCCAACCTGTTGAAATAGTCCATTCACCCCCTATAAATACGAACATGGGACCACCTTCTTCATAAAAGGCGTTATTTTGTATATATCTCTAAACAAAGCTTTATATTAAAAAATTATAATAACTTCTAATAATTAATATGTCAGCTTCAACATTTGCTCAAAGTTTTGAGACAAAAAATTAATTCTTTTCATCGTTTTATCCGGCTAAGTAGAATTAGTTAAGAAATTCGATTTTGCTTTTGATATTTCATATGACAGTTAAAATGAACATCTTGTAGTTATTTTAAAATGTAAAATACCATTTGCCAAGTTCTGTTGTCTGCTGGATTGAAATGGTCAACTCTTTGAGTAAGTCTAAACCATTGGGGTGATGTTCTAATTTCAGGTTCCCTGGCCGGCGGTATTCCATGTCGGATATATAATATTTCGTTCTAAATATGAGATAGAAAACATATAATTTTGTTTCATTGGGATAGTGATTGGAGAAATCGATCCAGTGATCAATAAATCAGACTGTAAGATTGACGTCCATTATTATTATATATACACATTTATTTATCTTTCGTTAGAGATTAAAAAGTTTTTATAGGATTGGACGTGCTTGATTTTTTAACACTGTAAGTAAGGAGTTTTACTCAGTAATATCGTATGATAAAAAGATAAATTTTAGCTAGGGAGCCATCTAAAGAAGATTATCATAAATTTTTCAACGGTATCTATAATACTAGGGGTTTCTTGGATTATGTTAGCAAATCATCTTAATGAAGATTAACGTTTTTTTAATGCCGCGCTGTTTAGTTTTTGATAACTGCTATCGACATGATTCCATCTGTAGAAACCATGCATATAAAATGTATATATCAAAAGATGAAAAATGTATTACCATATACTCGTCAAAGGGCGTCATCATATTTTGAAAAATACGATATGATACAACCATCTTCTCATATATATAAATAACATTTTACCTTATTTCATATTGGTAAGGAAAAATGTTCAGCGAACATCCAAATTAAAAATTTCTTTGTCGGTGGTTTTTATTTTTATGTTGTACGAGTTAAAATGCATATTTTGGTGAACTTGTAGAATATGTTTTTTCAACCACAACTATTTGAAACTATAACCTTCTTTTTTGAAAACTATACTAAACTAACCGAAATTAAAAAATTTTATTTATCAAAAGATAATTCTGCCTTTGATGATTTTTTGCAATAGAAAATCCCTATGGTCGGTTCTCAAACTCGCCAGTAGTGTATATACCTAATGCTATTACTTATTACTAGATAATAGTACCGTTTAGTTGCTTGGATTTGAGAATTAAACATTACCCTTTTCATAAATACTGCGATTCCGAATATAAACAAAAATTTGCATAAAAAATATTTTTCAGATAATGCTGTCATACACTACAAATAACTTTTGAAATGTAACTTCTTAAAACCACAGGCTATATTTAACAAATTGTCTGGTAAATAAACTAATGTTAAGCCAGATAAAATTATTAACACTTAAAATTTTACAGGACGCACCTCAATTGAAAACGTCCCTGTAGCCAAGACAAGTAGTGAACATAAAAATCCCCACATTTTTCTTAGTATCACTTTTGCACTTATTATTAGTCCACTGAAAAGTGAAGCTCATATGGAAAAAATCTCCATTTATATATTTGGAAATATCTAAATAATGTTAATGCATCAAAGAATAATGAATTAAGTTTCGGTTGATAAAACATGCAATATCTATTCTTTGGTACTTAAAAATTGATTGATGAGAGAATTCATTTATCTTTATCCATTAACTTAATCTTGTAATATCTGATTTTTATATTTGAACCAAAGCCAGGTAGGGTAAAAGGGATTTTTATTGTAAAATCAACCACCAACGTTTCGCCTTGGATGTAAGTTTGATGAAACATTACAGACTTGAATAGAAGGTAGACAGGAGTGAATTGGACTATTCACTTTTTATTTTTTATTTGTTATCGTGATATTTCACTTATTACAAACAAATTGTTTTATTGGATTTGTTTTATTGTTCATTTACCGTTTCTCTTTATCTCATTTATCCAGGCACTTATTGTATTCATAATCCTGGTTTTAGCCCGTTTCATCTCATCGGAATCTGCATCACTAATGGAGTCCAAATCGCCAGAATGTGACGTGCCGTTAACAATAATCGTAACTACATCCTTGTTTAAATTACGCAGTAATCCCATTTTGTACCACGGGTCCCCCGTACCATGGCATGTAACAAGCCGTGTTACATTCGGCTCTCTGCCACCATACAACGAATTTGTTCGTTGAATTCCGGAATTAACCCTCTTAGAGTCAAATCTAAAAGTTATTTAAATTGCATTCGACCTTTTAATTTATTATATTAATTTCAAAATGAGGTAAACATTTCTTGGTAATGGTTTCTCCAGTAGGGATCACTAATTTTGAGAATTTTTACTTTTTACTTACTCTTTACCAAAAAGGTCGCGGCACATGTGATAATACATATCTACTGTAAATGAGTTACCAAAACCATGTGTTTGAAACCAACCAAATTCATTACACAATTGATACGTCCATTGACGAGCTTAAATAAAAGAAAAGATGTAATTAATGCCTTTTTAGAGTTTATAACATATCTTTTGCCTAATCCAAACTAATTACAGTAATTCATTTGTAAAAACACTGGATATGGAATTTCGAGTTTTCTAATATCTCATTATTTCTTATTACTAACAAAAACTGGAAACAAATATGAGGGGCATAATTAACCGAATTAATCAATTCAATCCCATCTGTATTTTCTTCGATCAAGAGTTTTCGTTAAATTGACCAGTCACTACAGTATGCATCTCATAATTTTATCAAAAGTAATATAACGATTAGAATTGGATATAGTAGGCATTAGTGAAGTCTGTTGGCCCGAAGCTGGAGAGTTCTGGAGTGGAGACAGGGCAAAAGATTAGTATGTTTGGATTTGCAGATGATATAGCAGTATTAATATCTAACAAGAAGGAGTTAGAGATAGTTTTAAATAAAATGGAAGCGGTATTGACAAAACAGTACTGTATGAAAATAAACAAAAGTAAAAGAAAAATACTTGTGTGCAAGGGAAGAAAAAGTAGGTAAAGAGCGAATATAAAGATAGGAGACGAAAAATTAGTGGCCGATTTTAGATATCTAGGAAGTCAGATAAGTCAGGACGGAAGGAATAGTAGGTATATAAAGCAGAGGATAGCGCAGGGTCGTGTCGCCTTTAATAAAAAAAGTCACTTCTTCGCGAACGGTTAATTTAGAAATTCAAAAAAGATTGTTAAAGATGTATGTTTGGAGCGCGGCGCTGTACGGGTGCGAAACATGGAAAGGGTTGAAAGCGTTATAATGTGGTGTTATAGGCGAATGATGAGGATACCGTGGATAGAGAAGGTTAGAAATAAAGAGGTATTAGAAAGAATAGGAGAGGACTCTTTGGAATTCAAAAAGAAGGTTAGGAAGACACTTTCTCAGGCATGAAGGTCTAGTCAGAGACATATTAGAGGCAGAAACGGGAGAGTTAGGAGGGGTAGAGGTAGACCTAGATTGTTCTAGTTTTAGGGAAATGCGAAGATTACCTCAAGATATAAAAGAGTGGAGGTGCCTGTCCAATCAGTTTTAGGACTGACGACCTTATGATGATGAATAAAACAATTAGTTAACTATAAATTTCGATATACAGTAGCAATTAAAAATTTGGTATCGTGTTTATGAGGTAAGTTCTCCAACTAACCCTCATTGGTTTTAAACTTACTATCGTCGTTTGTTCCTGCTTGAGTATCAGAAAGAGTTTCTATCATATCGTCATAAGAATCTATACACCCGTAGACCGTTGCATCATACTTAGATAATTTTTCTATATCAGAACCTGTTTGATTTTCCAGGGTTCTACACACAGCCGATACATCGCCTGGCCGCGCAAACTGAACTGTAACACCAATGGATGACACAACGGAGCTAAGAAAATATGATCTATATGGATCTACTGAACCATTTAGAGGATCACAAGTACTAGAAAAGAAATTAAAAACACTATTTGAGTGTTGTCTTCCCCAAAGGTACTTCTTTAATGTAATAAAACATAAATAAATGTAATACCCACTTAAACTGTTTTGATAATTTAGCAATACCCTCTCGAGTTTTTAACATTCCCAGTATTTTAACCATGGCATTTCTGATTAGTTCCAGACATGTTGGGGAGACAAGACGTATGGTTTCTTCCACAACTTCAAAATATTCTACAGAAAAATGACAAATGCTTCATATTTTATAATCACAGACGAATGTCTCAATTTTTACTTTTCCATATTTAATTGCATACGAATGTTTATATGTTAGTCTTTAGTTACCTGTGAAATTTGCTTTGGCATATAAAGGACCACTGGAAGAATAAGCAATATCTATTACATTAGGATATTTTTCTCTTCCCCATGTTGCTAAGGATCCTGCATACGATGAACCTCGAACTACCACCTAATATTTATTATAAAATTAATTTTCTGTTGATACAGGCGAATACAACTGAGAAAAGCACGGTTAAACTGAGGGATGGGTGGTTTGTATTCCATACAGGATTATCGATAAATTTTCTTAAAAGAGAAATTTATCATTGCATTTTTCCATGCTCAGTAAAGGATACAGCATTTGTTGTTGTTTTCACTAATATTTAAAAATTGATTTTTGAATATTTCTCTTCGCAAAAGCGAATCAAAATCCATGTATTAAATAGTAATAGGCAGAAATTTTTCTCAAACCCATGTATATCTAATCTACACATATTTGGCTTCTTTATCTCGAGAGTATCTTCCATGGTTGTATTTGCTCGTAAAGCTTTTTGCTTTCTCTCCTTTTCCATATCTAAGTCACTCGTAAATAATGGTCTCTTGTTTTTACTTTTTATTAAAAATATGGAGAAGGTGCTCGGTATACTATTAATATAAATATCTAGTACCTAATAGTAAAAGTTGATGCATTGTACTAATAGGCACTAAAACCTTTTCTGGAATACGGTGATCATATAAGTGAACAAAAAATGAAAATCGGATCAAAAGTTTAGAAGAAAATAGAAGACATACATAGGTAGGTGCTATTACATAATACTGAAAGTCCTTTGAAGAAACAAGTGTATAATCTGGATAGGTCTAATTGAAACTCACTTTAATTGGTTTACTATATACTGAATAGCAATTAAATATAATGTAAAGATGAGTTTTTAGTTGTGTTCTTTTTTTAAAGCTCTTTTGTGGACCAGTTGTAATGATGCAATGTTCATTACTTACTATACTGTTTTGAAGTCCTGGAATGTTTTGCTTTTGGTACTCAATAAAATACTTCAGGTCTTCTAGAGCTTGATCAACAGACAAGTATTTCAAACTGGAGGTATTTAGATCTCTAGGAAATAAACAACAAAATACCAAATTAACAATAACAACTTGCAATTAATCGTAGTGAAAGAAAGCAGTAAGCGAGTCGCGAAAATGAAAATGGAAAATAATAAAATAAAGAATATAAATGTTATTCAGGTACCTTATTGGGTAACTTTCGCCATAATATCTGTGTTCTGTATAGAATAAAATGCCTTTGTGCCAAAGAGCCCTACCATAGTCCAGTCTGTTGAAATTGTCCATTCGCCTCCTATAATTACGAACATCGGGGCACCTTGTTGATAAAAGTCGCTATTTTGTACATATCTCTAAACAGAGAATTACATTCAAAAATAGGTACCCGAAGATTTTACTGTCAACTTTTCTTTAAATTAATGGGTAATGAATTTTTAAGAAAAAATTAATTCTTCTTATCTTTTTATCAGTTATATAGAATTCATTGAAAAGGATCAGATTTTGATTTTGATTTCATTCCCAGTCGCAATTTTTAAATTTATTATTTTAAAACTTAACTTTTAGTTTTAGATGAGAACTTAAACTTCTATTTAAGTTTAAACATTATTTTTGACTACCCTTTGGCAGTATACGAAAGCATCAAAGAAATTAGAGTATTTAGGTTTAACAGAATTTCGAAGATTTCTAGTCGGGTTATAAAACAGTTAAGATTATTTTTTTTTAAATATTTTAAAGTTTAAAATTTACCATTTTCCACGTTCTGTTGTCTGCGGGGTTAAAATGGTCAACTTTTTGAGTAATTGTACCCCATTCGGGTGATGTTCTAATTTCAGGTTCCTTAGCCGGCGGTATTCCGTGGCGGAGGAATGATATTTTACCCTAAAGAATTTTTGTAGTGAAATAGAGAATGAAAGAGAAATCCCAAGAAAACACATAAGAAGAATGTCTAGAACTATAGTCATACTTAACAAAATTTTTTGAATAATTTCAAGATTTTACATTTTTACGTTTAAAATCTCCAAGGACAAACCTCAACCAAAAATTTTCCTGTAGCCAATAAAGGTATTAGTATACCGAAAAGTCTCCACATTTTTGTTACACTTATTATTGACTTACTCTTTTATTTTTCGTTAAACAGTAAGACTGTTCAAAAACTGTATATGTACCTACTTTCCTTTTATATATAGCACTATTGTATCAGAAAATAAGGAATTATCTTGAAATTGATAATGTCAAATACTTAAAATGTCGTAATATTTAAATTG